AATGTACGTGGGCAGAGGATGGGAAAACTAAGCAGACGGATGACAAAAATGGGAAAACTTTCACTTAATAGTCTTTCTTTTGCTTACTTTTCTGAACCACTATTATTTAAAATTTTTGCTTACACTACTTTAAATCAGGAAATGAAAAGAAGACCCAAGCTGATGATACAATTAACTGTAAAATGAGGGTCATAGTTAAGAGCTGCAGTCACTTATAAAGAATTTTACAGTCTAGAAAAAAGCCTGTGTTTATATACATTTAATGTTTATGGCTAAAGGCAGACATAAACATCTCCATCATAAAATGTAAAAGCTAGTTGTAGCTTCAACGTGAAAAGAACATGTATAAAATCAGGCTAATTAATGGAGAGGACAAGTTAATCACCAATGATTACAACACCTTTCCATTGCTTCAACTTGAGCCAAAACAGAAAATTAAACTACCAGCTATCCTTTTAGTTTTGGTAATTGTCCAGATCTTAAAACTGTATGAGGTTAGTACATAAGAGATGTAAATCTTTCTCTAAATTTAATTCAAAGTCTCCAAAGTAGAACCATTCCATTTTTTAATTATAAATGTACTTAATATCCATAAAATAGATCAGCAGATGTAAAGCTCATCTGCCACATTCACAATCACTCTATCTTTTGAGGGGATGGAAATTTAATTGACATGGCTGGGGTTTGAGCTTATGTTTCCTAGGAGATAGATAAAAGTGCTGACTATTATATATATCATTTTGGGAAATTCCAACTATGAATTTTGACAACACTTTTATAAGAGGAGAGGAAAGGTGAAATAAAAAACAATGTTAAAATAAAATTGCCAGAAGTGCTTTGTTCCACACAAACTATGTGTAAAAGGTCTATGAGATACAATATAGCCCAGCAAAGATGTCTTTGAAAAGTGTAGCACAGATGGCAAAAAAAAATGGCTGACACACAAAAAAATATCAGAAGGCAGAGGTCATATAAGGTTTCACACCATTATTATCCTAACTTCAGTGAAAATGAGCTCCAACATAAACTAAATTTCTGGTAGTATATCATCCCATTAAGAAAAAAAAAGTAAGGTTTTAGATACGTTTTTTATTTATTTAAATCCTCACCCAAGGATATTTTTTTTTTATTTTGAGAGAGTAGGAAAGAGGGAGGGAAAGGAAAAGAGAATGAGACAGAGAGAGAGAGAGAAACATTGATATGAGAAAGTCACATGGATTGGTTGCCTCCAGCATGCATCCCAACTGGGGCTAAGGATTGACCAGAGCCCCTTTGGTATGGGGGCAGCAACTGAGCAACACTGTTCAGGGCAGTTTTCCGATACTTTAAAAGTTGCACTTTAATACAACAAATGAATGTTCTCTCTGCTAAAAAATTAACATATTAGAAATTTATTTTGTTCGTTATGAAGCTATTATTTCATTTCATAAACAAAAAACTTAATTTACCCCAAGGTGACCATCTTCCTCCTTTTCTCAACAGCAGGTAAGCCATTGATAACTGCAACCACAATAGCATTTGAATCCAAAGCCTGACTCTGCAGGTCTTCAGATTTCGGCAGAATATCACCGAAACTGCCATGTGTCAAGGCTCGGGGAGAACTGTGCCTGCTCCCAGACTGAGAGCTTCCTGGGGAAACTACAGAAAAGGAAGGGGATATTCAGATAAAAGGAAAACAAAATGTTCTCTCTCAGATTTCCACTTCAGATCTTATCATACATCTTTAAACTACAGGAAAATGCAAAAATAATTTTAAAATATATCATAATCTTTTTTATGCCAACTGTTTAATATTAAGGCATCCAGAATATGCAACCTAATGGCTCTATTTTTTTACTGATGTCTCTAATTAATCTGTTGTGAGATCAAGGAAGTTTTGAATCACGTTTCAGCATTATGGCAGAGTCTAAAGCTATATGTAAGATCAATTCTGAATAACAGACTTCTACCCATGAAAATCACATTTTGAACTCTTCAAATTTACCTTCAGACAGAGGTTGACAGTCTCCCCTTGAATAGCTATTTTCCCCAGGGTCTACTGCTCTTCGAAGTGATAGACTACCTGCTATACTGGACCGACCTGGCTTGGGTGAATTACTCTTCTTATTTGCGGCTGCAAAGACATTTAAAAACATTTCTGAATATGATAAAATAGCACAAAACTCACTACCTAGGCAGTCAGAGAAAGGTTTAATCTTAACATGCAAGAAAGGTATTCTAGCTACTATGTCAAAAATAAAACAAAACAGAGGATGCTTTGGTCCCAACTGGTTTATTAGGGGTTTTATTCCAAAAGCACTCCTACTCTGCTGCTTGTGGAGCAGTGTTACCTTACAAATCTAAAAAAAATATAAGAAACTTCAAAAGAAAAATCATACCAGACATAGACTCTCATCTCCATGTAATGAAACTAGTATTAAGAAAAAAATGGTAAAATATTACTGGTATGGAAAGAAAATGCTTAATTAGAAATGAAGCACAATTATAATGCTTTAAGATGTTTGTGGCTAAATCAGTAATTAGCAGAAATGGATGGCCTTAAAATGAATTAGAAAAAACTGATACTAAATGGCCTAACATGCAGAGACTCAAGAAGCTATAAAAAGAATTAAATTTTTTAAGAGAATAGATGCATTAAAAGGTAATAAACAGGTTCAGCAAGGTAGAACCATATAAGATCAATAATCAATTGTTTTTTAATCCAACAATCTGAGAATGAAATGTAAAAAACAATTCCATTTTGCAAGAGCATCAAGTAGAAAAGAGAGGAAAAAATTAAGCAAAGAAATGTAAGACTTGTACACTGAAAACTATCACACATTGTTGAAAGAAAAAAAAAAGATAGGAAAATACTGTGTTCATTGATTGGGAGACTTAATACTGTTAATATGGCAGTACTCCCAAACTTGATCTACAGATTTCAACACAATCCCAATAAAACCTCTAGCTATCTTTTTTTTTTCCTAATGGCTGAAACTGACAAACCAATTATAAAATTCACATGAAAATGCACAAGATCCATTACACCCCCAAACCATCTTGAATGGAGCACTCACAGTTCCTATTGTAAAACAATAAGCCTGGCTAGTGTGGCTCAGTGGTTGAGCATCAACCTATGACCCAGGAGGGATTATTCCTGGTCAGGGCTTATGCCCAGGTTTCAGGCTTGGTCCCTAGTGGGGGATGTGCAGGAGGCAGCTAATCAATGATTCTCATCATTAATGTTTCTTTCTCTCTCTCTCCTTCTTTCTCTCTCTCCCTCTCTCCCCCTTCCTCTTTGAAATCAATAAAAATTATTTAAAAAAAATAAAAACTACTCATTGGAACATACAACATATTTTAAACTTGAGAATAAAAAAACTAAAGGGATTTCTAAATAGAGTTGACAAACATTACAAAAATTCTATTATTGCTAAGGCACAGCACAGAACTTCTGGCTGGACTTCTTTCATGACAGGAAGAAATGAGGCACTGGGAACCTGGGGCAGCCTTCTATTTCCACCCAAATAAATCTTACCACCAGACCTCATGCCCTCATGTGGCTCCCCAAAAATGCTTTTGTCACGACACCAGAAGGACTGACTCCATTTCCACTCTCAACCCTTTTCAATTCCTTCTCCACCCAACAAGCAAAGTAATCTTTGTAAAAGGTAAATCAGATAATAAATACTCCCTGATATCTATTCTTTAAAGACTTGCTCCTAAAACCAGAATAAAACACAAAACTCTTTATTGAGGTCTTACCAAAAACCCTACCTGAGCTAAATCCTGCCTACCTCTCTGCTTATGTCCTATTATTCTCCCCCGTGCTGTGTTCACCATATTCAGCCATAAGGTCTTCCTTCGAGCCTTCAAATATACAGAGCAATTCCTTTATCAATGACTTTGCATTTTCTGTTGTTTACCCAGAACACTTCCAACACATCTTTGCATGGCTGTCACTTTCTTAACCTTCAGGTCTCAGTTCAAATGTTGCTTCCTCAGACTTTCTCTGACTACCCTAACTAAAGGAACACATTCCTCACCTGTTCTTTCCACCCATTCTTCTGTTGTTTCCTTTATAGTACTCTTTACTTTTTATCAACTACAATTATCTTTACTTCTTTACACATGTCCAATCCCCACCATATAAATACATGAATGCAAGATCCATAAGGTTAAGGTTTTTGTGTTATTTATTGCCCAGTACAGAATAAGCAATCAAGAAATGTTAGCTCTATTATACATTTGAAAATATAGTCTGTTTTATTTTTTGTTAATCCTCACTGGAGGATATTTTTTCCATTGATTTTTAGATTGTGAAAGGGAGGGAGGAAGGGGCAGAGAAAAACATGAATGTGAGAGAAACACATCAACTGGTTGCCTTGTGCACGTGCCCCAACTGGGCCAGGAATCAAATCCGGGACCCTTTGGTGCTCAGGCTGATGCTCTAACCACTGAGTACAACAGCCAGGGCAAAAATATAATCTGTTTTAGAGAGGAGAAAGAGTGGTATATATTTGAAGTCTCAATTCATTGTAAGAGAGATTTTAAAGTATTATTACTCTGAAAATAACCTGTCCTCTAGCTTCCCAAATGACATGTCGAGAAAAGACACTAACAGGCTCGTTTTCACTTACAGTTTCGTATGTAGCAACTGGCAACTGATGACTTTGCCAAGAGCTCCATTCCCAAATCCTGTAATCTGCCAGAGTTTTCAGTTCCACATGCAGCCAGAGCTGCCTGGTCAGCAGAAAAAAGACTTGTCTGCATGTCTCCAGAAGGAGCATTGCTGCTTTTTATTTCTGAAAGTGGATTCTTTACATCAGTCTTCATACATCGAACTTCAGCCATTTGAGTTTTCAGTCTTTTTAGCATCTTTAAGTCAGAGGGAACTCGCCACATTGCCTGCTGTTTCCTTTGATCTTTATCTTTTCGACAATATGAAACTTGAGAGAGAGAGAGAGAAAGAGAGAGAGAAACTCATGTTAATATAGATGTTAACATTAATAAAACCATTCTGGCCCTAGCTGGTTTGGCTCAGTGGACTGAAGGGTCCCAGGTTCGATTCCGGCCAAGGGCACATGACAGGGTTGTTGGCTCGATCCCCAGTAGGGGGTGTGCAAGAGGCAGTCAATCAGTGATTTTCTCTCATCATTGATGCTTCTGTCTCTCTCTACCCCCTTCCTTCCTCTCTGAAATCAATATAAAAAATAAAACCATTTTGCATTGTGAAATATGCAAATTTGATGTGTAAATAATCTACTTTAGGTGGTGTCAACAATAAATGTATTACATGCCATTAATTAAAATAAATATAGTCACAAATATCTTAGTATTATTCATACCTTCAAAGTTAGAATCTGAGTCACATTATAATCACCCAAATCTGTACTAATATTGAACTCTAAAGTTTAAAAAGCTGCAATACTTCCTGTGCTTTCTTCTTTACATTTCTCTTTTCTCAAATTTTCTGCATTGAAGTTTTATTATATTCACTAGAGGGCCGATGCACCAAATTTGTGAATTCGGGGGCTGGGGGGTGTCCCTCAGCCTGGTCTGCACCCTCTCGCAGTCCGGGAGTCCTCAGGGGATGTCCAACTGACTTCTTAGGTTCGCTCCCACAGCGGGCCTAAGCCGGCAGTCGGACATCCTTAGCGCTGCCACAGAGGCGGGGGAGGCTCCTGCCACCGCTGCTGCGCTCACCAGCCATGAGCCAGCTTCTGGCTGAGCAGCACTCCCCCTGTGGAGTGCCTTGACCACCAGGGGGCAGCTCCTGCATTGAGTACCTGCCCCCTGGTGGTCACTGTGGGTTATAGTGACTGGTCATTCTGCCATCGGGCTGAAACCAGCTCTCTGACATCCCCCGAAGGGTCCTGGATTGTGAGAGAGCGCAGACCAGGCCGAGGGACCCCACTGGTGCACGATCATGGCCAGGGAGGGATGCAGGAGGTTGGCCAGCCTGGGAGGGACCATAGGAGGGTTCCAGGGCGTGTCTGGCCCATCTCGCTCAGTCCTGATAGGCCGGACCCCTGCAGCAAGCTAACCTACCAGTCAAAGCGTCTGCCCACTGTGGGTCAGTGCACATCATAGTGACTGGTTGACCGGTTGACTCTGCCCCCTAGTGGTTAGTGCATGTCATAGTAAGTGGTTGAGCAGCCTTAGCATATCATTAGCATATTACCCTTTGATTAGTTGACCGAATGACCAGACACTTAGTATACTAGGCTTTTATTATATAGGATAATTTTAAAACATAGCCAACTACTTAGCCAAATCTGATATAAAAATATATATATTCTAACTAAATTCAAAATGTTGATTTACCGAAGTACTAGCCAAGCATATGTAGTTATTAAGTGCCATGGAACATCACAAAAGAATAGTTCCCTGCCACTGAGTCTACAGCCACTAAAGTAACAATGTTTTCTTTCTTCCCAGAGAAAGTAATTGAAGCTGTTTTTAACTTTTCCCCCTACCCAAATATTAAAATGAAAGGTATGAGCAAGGAAAGTATACTTTCCTCTCAGGAAGGAAAAGAGCTAAATATTTTGGAAATCAAAGAACATTATGGCTGACTTAAAGCAAAATGAAACTAAGCCAAAAAAACACACGCAAAACACAATACCTGCACACACATAACACATCTCCAAATGGGGCCAACAGGCACTCAAGCCAAACAAAGAACAAGTCCTTTATTAGCAAAAATGGCTACAACAGCCTTCTGCCATAAATGAGGACATACAGTAAAAGGTAGGTGCTGTAGTGTATCAGCCATTTCACCTTGCACAAAAAGGATTCAGACTGTGTTCAGGTATCAGGTGAGCAGCAATGTGCTCAGGGAGGTTAGGTCCCACCCTTTGGCTCCAGTAGATATGGGTCCAGGACTGGTCTAAGCTCATTCCTCTGTGATAGTGGACATAAGACTCAGTCTCAACCAAAAGACTGGGGGAAAGGGTAAGATTTTCTATCATGATTTGTTGTATTTATTTAACAAACATCTATAACGTGAGTATCAGATATTTTTAAAACATTAAGTCATTTAATCCTCTCATATCAATCCTCTGAGGTAAGTACTATTACCTCCATTTTATAAATGAGGAAAGACACATAAAGGTTACCCAACATAATACTCAAGGTAACACAGCTAATAAGTAAAAGAATTATTGTATTATTTTCCATACAAACAACTGTAAACCTAGTTCTGCCCCATCCTGTATTTGTTGGATAGTTTCAAACTCTGATTTTTCTTTGGAATATACTCCTAAAAGTAAAGTACATGATTCAAAGATAGAAATATTTTTGAGCCCAGCTGCAGTGGTTCAATGGTTGAGCATCAACCTATGAACCAGAAGGTCACAGGGTTTGATTCCCGGTCAGGGCACATGCCTAGGTTGTGGGCTCGATCCCCAGTGTGAGACTTGCAGAAGGCAACCAATAATTCTCTCTCATTGATGATTTATGTCTCTCTCCCTCTCTTTCTCAAATCAATAAAAATATATTAAAAGAAGAAATATTCTGAACCTACTATAAAATTTTCCTTCAAAAAGGTTAAACCAATATACATTCCTACTTCCAGAACCAGAACTTGTCTGTTTCACTAGGTCTTTGCAAATATTGCCCAGTTTTCTACAATAAAAACGCCTCAGAAAAATATATAAAATCATATACAATGTGGTAAGTGCTACAAAAGTACAAATATAATACAAAATGTACTTGGGGATCATAGATAAAAGCAATTGTTTTATAACTTGGTTGTAAGCCTACAGAAGTATACCTTAGAAAGGAAAGGGCCTAACTTAATCCAACCTCTGAGAGTCCATTCCCCACTAGGTAGAACAGATCCAATTTTCTGATTTCTACATCGAGGCTCTACCTTAGACTTTGTTTGAAAAATGAATCCCACTGCTTTAAAGAATCAAAATCATTGTTTTAAGCCACGGATTTAATTTGTATAGTGCTATTGTTTAAGAAGGTAGGAAAATGTTTGGTATATTTTTTAAAAGCTTTCCAACAAAAATAGTTTTTAAAATGTGTCATTTAAAGGTAAATCCTTAGCTATTCAAAATGACCATGCCATAGCGTTTCGAAAAGTCCAACTTTAATATGAATGTGTATACACTATATTACAGTAACACAAATGTAATTTCTCTTCAACAAATAATCTTTATACCTAAACACAGCTGGTTTAGGTTTTTAGGCTACCGAACATCAAAGTGTGGGTAAACCATCTTTTTCTATATTCAACTTAGACAGAGTTCCACTTGGAAGTTACGGTATTCGTGAGTTGTGCAAAACTCTAAGTCCACTCACAGAGGAAAACTGTATTTCATATGGATCAAACTGTCAATTACATACAATTTAAAGGGCAAATCATTAAAAAACCAATCCTCCTTACAGGCATTTTGACATTTTCACATAAAATACCTTTGAACAGTAACAAAATATTAATTTGATTAATATAAATGTCATTTTATGACTTACAATGAAAAAATCCATTTGCTACAGAAATATACTGTATTTGGAATAAGAGTTCTTTTGGGGAACAACGAAAAAGGAAAATCACTGTTAATATTTTACCTGTGGGCTGCAACAGTGAAGCAGGTGGGCGAGGTTGTAAGCCCCACAAATTTTCCATACTGTTCCGGCCCTTAAGGTCCAACAAATGCATTAAAATGAAAGGATCAATGTCTAATAAATTACTTGTAGTAGCAGAACATAAGTGTGTTCTTCTTGACATTCTACTACTGGCACCAACATAGCCATGGTTACCACCTGCAAAAGAAAAAAAAAAACAATACAGAAAGTGCATGCTATATATGTGTACAAATTTAAGTATACTTAAAAGAAAAAAGTAAACTGCTTGATGTTTGAATACTTGTCTCTTAGGATTTTATTTTCATAAGAAAAAGCACAATGAAGAAACCAGATTGCCGTAGAGGTGTACACAAGCACAGTGGCTGAGCACTGGCCTCATTACTATCCAGAATTTGGGAGCAACCCTCAAACTCATCCTGAGCCCTAGAAATAAAAAAGTGACAATGTATACAGTATATACAATTAGTGGAATGAGAATTAGGAAAAGCTAACATATCTCATAACCCAGTGGTCTTGGATGAAAGACAAATCTCCATAGTATAACAGATTCCAAGAACTAGACACCAAAATAGGAATCTTCTCCAGGTCTCTGGATAGCAAACTGTACAGATCTATGACATGTTTGGTAGACTTTTTTTCTAGCTTAAGTACTGGAACACAGGTTGAAGTTTTTAGGCCGAACTTGTTACTTATTGATGGCATAGTACAGACTGTGAGCAAATGTCTATTTATATCACCTATGTTGAACTAAGCTTTAAGACAAGAAAACCACCTGACTTTTCTCTAGTGCCTAGTACAATGCTTAGCAATATTGGATTATGAAAATATTGGTTAAAAATCAACCTTTAATAAAGCTATTTAAATATATTTTACACTGTAATACCTGTAAGCAAATCACTAAGCATAGCTTACATTTAAGGGTGGAGAGTTACACTTCACCTCCTTGAAGAGACAATATATAAAAAAATTATTAGGAATTCTTTTGTATGTGCATGGTCTTATATATATTAGTTATATATCTATTCACCTTCAGATTATAAATTACTTAAGAGTAACTCTTTTTCATGGTATTTTCCAAAAATCTGGAAATAGGAAAGAATTTCAATAAATGCCTACCAAATATATAAAATTCCCCAAAGCACAAAATACAAATTAATTGTTTGATTTACTATTGTATCCTCAACATCTAGAATTCAATGTCTGAACTATAATAGGTGCTCAATAATATATATATATTGAACTAATAAATTATAATTTCAGAATTATAGAACATGAGGTCCATGAGGACAGGGACATCTTTTTTTCAATACTGTAGTTCATGAAAGTAAAACAGTATTCAGTTTCAGTTAAGTGCTCAGTAAATGTTTGGTGAATGAATAATTGAAAAAATATAACCTCTGCTTACTCAGAGTGTCTAAAAATGTTATATATAAGAATTTCCTGCCCTGACCGGTTTGGCTCAGTGGATAGAGCGTCGGCCTGCGGACTGAAGGGTCCCAGGTTCGATTCCAGTCAAGGGCATGTACCTTGGTTGCAGACACATCCCCAGTAGGAGATGTGCAGGAGGCAGCTGATCGATGTTTCTCTCTCATCGCTGTTTCTAACTCTCTATCCCTCTCCCTTCCTCTCTGAAATACATACAATTTTTTTAAAAAGGCTGAAAGCCCTAGCCACTTTGGTTCAGTGGATAGAGCATTGGCCTGCAGACTGAAGGGTCCCAGGTTCGATTCTGGCCAAGGGCACATGCCAGGCTCGATCCCCAGTAGTGTGTGCAGGAGGCAGCCAATCAATGATCCCCTCTCATCATTGATGTTTCTACCTTTCTCTACCTCTTCCTTCCTCTCCAAAATTAATAAAGAAATATATTAAAAAAAGAAAAGGCTGAAAATATTCAGTAACCTTGACAGAGTACACTCATCTTCCATTTTATACCAAGATGGACTCTGTATTTTTATGCACTATTTAGAACCTTAAAAATTACATTGAAAACTTAGTAATAAAGTGTATTTACTCAATGTTTATGTGAAAAATATTAAATGATCCCTATTATACTGTTTAATGTGCTAGGAATACAAAATTCTGACACACATTATATTGCTTCATGGAGTTCAGAGGTGAAAAGCAAAATAGCTATATAAGCAATAAGAATAATGTTTACCATAGGTTAAATAGGTTCTACAGATTCTAACTGGTTAATTTGAGAAAGCAGAAAAGACACCCAGGGCAAGCAGTCTAGGATGGCTTCCAGTAAGAAATGAAATAAAAGCAAAAATAAGGAGAAGGTAGAAGGAAAAACACGTTGGGAAGCAAAGATGTGAGAAATACCATGGCACATTTGACGGGCTGAAAAATGATGCAGAGGAGTGTAAGCAGGCTAAAGAAATGAGCAGAAGCCAGCACATAATGGACCTTCTACACCATATTAATGAATTTGGATTTTATCCATAAGTAACTAAAATCCAGTAAAGGGTTTTAAGTAGAGAAGTTACATAATCAGATATCAATTTGAAGGAAAAATCACACCCATTCTGAACTCATGCTATGGGAAACAGAATGAAGGGGAGCAATAATTGATACAAAGAACCCAGATGAGAGGCTATTTTGAAAGACAGTAGCCTAGAACCTCACAGACTTTTTTAAGTAAACTAAAGGCCGGGTGCACGAAATTAATACACTGGAGGGGGGTATCCCCCTCAGCCAGGCCTGTGCCCTCTCACAGTCCAGGACCCCTTGGATGATGTCTGCCTGCTGGCTTAGGCCCAATCACCCCCTGGGGATCAGGCCTAAGCCAACAGGCGGACATCCTTCTCGCAGTCCGGGATCCCTCGGTCCTTACCACCTGCCTACTCACTGCTCCTTAATGCTTGGCTCACTGCTCCTTGGCGCTGCCATGGACGCAGAAGAGGCTCCCGCCACCGCTGCTGCACTTGCCAGCCGTGAGCCTGGCTTCTGGCTGAATGGCACTCACCCTGTGGGCGCACACTGACCACCACAAGGCAGCTCCTGCGCCGAGTGTCTGCCCCCTTGGTGGTCAGTGTGCAACACAGCGACCAGTCGTTCTGGTCATTCCACTGTAAAGGTCACTTAGGCTTTATTATATAGCTGAGATAAGATACACAAGTGCATTTGCCTGGTACATGAGTACATATCAAATAGCTATTATTATTAAGAGCTAGTGGCTGCCACATATTAAAATATGATATGGTCAAAAAAGAACAAAGGGAAGACAGAATGGCTTGTGGGCTTGACCCTTGTACCCGGAGGTCCTGCAGCAGCTGAATCTTCCATCAGTTCTCCTTCTTCCAATTCCATGTTGTTGTATTCCACATCATTTTCTCCAGACCTAAGAATACACAAAATTCATTATTCCCACAAAGTTAAGTAAAATTAACATATTTATCACACCTCAATGAATTTTATAACAATAATGCACAGCTTTCTCTTGTGAAGACATATTACTAAATACAAAAATGAAGAAAAAGACTTTGGTCATTATCACATGTATAGTTAGTTGTAATAGTCAAACTACCTTTAAAAAATACCAAAACAGCTTGGAAACATTTAATTTTTAAAAGAGAAAATCTGAGAACCATTGTAGAGCAAAAGATTATAGCTTTAAATAATATGTACCTTAATGATAGTAACTTAGGCTTAAAATACTACATTTTAGCCTTAGCTTGTCTGGCTCAGTGGATAGACCGTTGGCCTGCAGACTTGAGGGTTTCAAGTTCGATTATGGTCAAGGGCACGTACCTCGGCTGCAGGCTCGATCCCGGTCCAGGGCCACGTGCAGGAGGCAACTACCCATGTGTCTGTCTCACATGGATGTTTCTCTTTTTCTGTCCCACCCCTCTGCCCCCACTCTCTCTAAAAATCAATGGAAAAAATATCTTTAGGTGAGGAATAACAAAACAAACAAAGCACCACTACATTTTAAGGTTAAAAAAGAAAGATGCTCAAATTACTGCATATATTAAATATTTTCCTGAAATGTTATTTCGGAATAAATGGTAATATCCTCTTATCAAAGTCCTCAAAGTATATCATACCAAAAAACACTATTACCTTATTTTATTTTTTTATATATAAATTTTTATTGATTTCAGAGAGGAAGAGGGAGTAAGAGATAGAAACATCAATGATGAGAGAGAATCATTGACCGGCTGCCTTCTGCACGCAGCCCACTGCAAATCGAGCCTGCAACCCAGGCATATGCCAGGACTCTTTAGTCCACAGGCTGACACTCTATCCACTGAGCCAAACCAGCTAGGGCTTTTCGAATCTTTTTGCTATTTTGTTGGTATTTCCTTTGAAAAATGGGCTGATGACAGGGCTGGAACAGAGAAAGTACAAGGTGAACCTGGAATGTCTTTTAGTGCCAGAAAATAAGAAAGTGCTTTAAAAATTATGAGGACATCTCAAAGGACACAGGAGTTATCTCTTTAACAGGCCCCCATTGGCTAAATCTTAGATAATCTGAGTAATAAATTATGATAATAAATGGGTTAAATTATTTAATATAAGAATCTGTGAGTCCATACTAATGAAATTAATCAATTAATTAATAGGGAAAGTTCTTCCTTAAAGTAAAATTCCAAGTAAGTGCAGAATGAATAATGGTATCATCATTTGGCAATCAACGCAGTAATCTTTTCCAAGTTAGTATCATCAATGGATGCTAAAATTAATGGACAAAAGTACAATGAGAAAAAGTTATTTAGTCTCAAATTATGTTCCCAAGAGATATTTATTAATCACAAAAGGAAAAAGTCATAATTGTAGAGAAGGGAAATCAGGAAGACACCCTCTTAACCAAGTATCTAAATTAATCAACCCTAGCCGAAACCGGTTTGGCTCAGTGGATAGAGCGTCGGCCTGCGGTCTCAAGGGTCCCAGGTTCGATTCTGGTCAAGAGCGTGTACCTGGGTTGCGGGCACATCCCCAGTGGGGAGTGTGCAGGAGGCAGCTAATCGATGTTTCTCTCTCATCGATGTTTCTAACTCTCTATCTCTCTCCCTTCCTCTCTGTAAAAAATCAATAAAATATATTTAAAAATAAATAAATTAATCAACCCTAATGGGACAGTTTAAAGACATGCCTCCACTTCCCCCTCATACAATATACTGAAAAAATTACCTCACCACTTCTGTAGTGTTCTTCCCACAAGTGCATAACCTCAGTCTAATGGTGAGGAAACATCAGCCAATTGCAAACTGAAGATTTTCTACAAAATAACTGCTATGTATTTCTCAAAAGTGTCAAAGGCATATAAAACAAAGTAAAAAAAAATGAAATAAAAGACTAAGTGACCCAAATTGGGGCAAACTAAAGAGACTTAACTAAAAGCAACATTTGATCCTGCATTGGATCCTAAACCAAAGGACATCACTGAATGCAAAATTTTTAAACGGTCAGATAATAATATTACAGCAATGTTAGTCTCTTGATTTTGATAACTGCACTGTAGTTATGTAAGAAATATACTTGTTTTCCGGAAGTACATAATGGGAAGTATACCCACCTAATCTCAAATGTCTCAAAAAAAATTATATGGTGAGAGAGAAATATAAAGCAAAATATTAACATGTGAGGAAAGAATACAGGCAGTTTTTTTAAATAGGGGAATTCTTAGTATTTTTTGCGACTTTCCTTAAATATGAAATAACGGCAAAATTAAAAGTTAAAACAAAAATTAAAACTCAGGCCCTGGCCAGGTGGCTCAGTTGGCTGGAATATATCTCACACCAAAAGGCTGCAGATTCGATTTATAGTCAAGGCACATACCTAGGTTGCAGGTTTCATCCCTGGGACAGGAGCAACTGACAGATGTTTCTCTCTCTCTCTTTCTCAGATTTTCTCTTTTAAAAATTAAATGTTTCCAAGCTATTTTGATATTTTTTAAAAGTAGTTTGACTATTACAACTAACTATACATGTGATAATGTATAGTTAGTTGCACACACAAATCAATAAAATATATATCCTTGGGTGAGAAAAAAAAGGAAAATTAAAACTCAGTTTGGAACCCAGAGATGAGAGAGTGGAAACTAATTCAAGTATCTCCTTTAAAATCCTTTAAAGATTATCAAGAAAAAAAATGCTAAATATCCCCACTTTTGGATCCAGTTAATATCCAATTATCATGTAGGTGTTTTACATGGTAGTTAATGCGCAACACTCACATAGTTTCTTCATCAATGTCATTTTCCTCCGTGTTACTTGTTGCTGTGGAACTGGCAGAGGAACTGCTACCATCGAGGTGGTTTACTTCATCTTCACCAACAAGATCCAGATCCAGATCCCCATCTGAAAGCTCATGCTAGAACGAAGCAAAGAAATAAAGACTTTTATCTCAAAGAACAATTGAGTATGGAGCAAGCACCAAACAACAATGCAATCATCTGAATTCTCTGCTCGTGTGCCCAATCAGCTAAGCCCCGTAGAAAAAAAAAAAAATCACAACCACATTACCTGGTACTAATAATTTATTGCTGCCAATTTCAATGGGGCCCTTAATGTAATTGGAAATGCTTCCGGTATTCCATGTTAGCTTCCAGTAAGGCTCCATACAGAGTAACATTTCAAACTATCATTCCTCAAGTCCTACCTAACCTCTATTATCCACAAAGTCATTGTAAAACCTGCACCTACCTGCATAGAAAAGCACACTGGCTATTAAACACAAATTCCTCCAACTTTCAGCTGTCCTACATGTAAACTCCATCTTTACCTCATCCTATCAAAAAATTAACATGAGTGCTCAGTTCCAGACCCTATTTGTTTCCTTAAATACTTGGGATTTGTCAATACCTTAAACTTACCTTCAGTCTCCCTAATGGCTCCTTCATTTTTTTTTTTTTTTTAATTCTGGCATCAGTCTTTTACTATTCCTTCAGAAACCATGTCTCCATTACCTTAGAGCAAGCATGTCAAATTCAATGGCTAACACGGGCCAAATAAACAAGGTTTAAGTTTATGTGGGCCACAAAAAAACAAAAGCTTCAATTTTCATAGAAACAGAGGTTTATTTCGATAGAGACATGCTGAATACAAAGGGCTGAAATAAATGAGTAATCATTAACATAAAACTTTTAAATAAAAATATTTTTTCTTGAACATTAACTTACCAGACACTGAATAACTGTACAAATTAATAAGCATAATGCAAAATAAACCTATTTTTCTTGTTCTCAGAAAGCAAAATATTTCCCATTGCACACACCAAACAAGTCAGTACAAGACTAATGATGGGGCAATCGACTGCTAAAATATTCGCTGCTAGCATTAGTGGAGAGAAATGGCGCACCTGCGTGTAAGGCATGTAAGGGAAATGAATGCAACACGATTATAGTAATCAGTCATTAGCGAACGTTGTAGTTCATCATTAATAATTATGTATAACAGAATGCTGTAAAAATTAAGTTATGAAATTTTTATTAAAATGTTTCTTACATACCGTTATATTGCCTGGGCTGCAAAAAAATATTCCCCGTGAGTTTGACATGCTTGCCTTAGGGCAACGATTCTTTTTTTTTTTCTTTTAAAAATTTTTTATTACAAAGGGTATTACATATGTGTCCATTTCCCCCCCCCGCCCTAGACAGTCCCCTAGCCTCCCCTGTCCCCCAGTCAAAATATTCCCCGTGAGTTTGACATGCTTGCCTTAGGGCAACGATTCTTTCTTTTTTAAAAAAATAATTCCTTATTGTTGCATGTATTACATAGGCCCCCCTTTTTCCCTCATTGACCCCCTCCAGCCCACCCTCACCTCCCCATTGTCAGTGGCCATGGGCTATGCATATATGCATACAAGGTTCTTGGTTGATTACTTCCCACCTACCTACCCTCCCCGACCTTCCCTCCAAGATTCTGCCCTCTGTTCCCAGGCTTCCATGTCTCTGAATCTACTCCGTTCATCAGTTTACTTTGTTACTGAGATTCCACATATGAGTGAGATCATGTGATACTTGTCTTTCTCTGATTCACTTATTTCACTTAGCATGATACTTGCCAGGTTCCTCCATGCTGTCTCAAGGGGTAAGAGATACTTCTTTTTTATTGCTGCACAGTATTCCATGGTGTAAATGTACCACAGCTTTTATAACTACTCATCTACTGATGGGCACTTAGGCTGTTTCCAGACTTTAGCTACTGTACATTGTGCTGCTCTGAACATAGGGGTGCATACATTCTTTCTGATTGGTGTTTTGGGTTTCTTAGGATATAGATATTCCTAAAAGTGGGATCACTGGGTCAAATGGCAGTTCCACATTTAATTTTTTGAGGAAACGCCATACTTTTTTCCATAATGGCTGCACCAGTGTGCATTCCCATCAGCAGTGTACTAGGGTTCCCTTTTCTCCACATCCTCTCAAAAGGCTTTTCTCTGTATCCCTATCTTACCTCAAATAAAAACAACCACTCCTTGAATTCTCATTCTGTTCATTATTTAGCTGGGATAAAACCTGGCTATCTCCCAAGTCCTAAATGAATCTATCTACATATGCAATGACAAGGCATTTACTAGTTTCAGTGAATAAAAATACAACACATTTTAAAAATTCACAATCTATAGTTTCTAGAATGTACATCAATTTGTTGTGTAGAATGTAGTTTTCTACAATAAATTAATTTTAAAACTTTAAACACTTTGATTCAGCAACTTCCGACTTGACTAACAGATTAGATTTTTAGCACAGACTCCCCTACATCACATGATGAAAACCATGATCTTATTAATTTCTCTTATCAAACACAAAATAAATATAAAAAACTGGTGTATTACATGATAATCCTCATTCGGAATCTTCTCCTCATCTTCATCCTCTTTGGCCTCTCTTACAGAAGCTGAAATAGGACCATCCTGGAGAAGCATGTCAGCACAGGACCCAGACTTCTTAGATCGTGTCTCAGGACTGTCATCATTTTGGGGGCTAAGATGATTAGCTGGTGGTGACAAATCTCTTGATTTCTGAGTTCGAGATAACTCAATAGTAAGTCTCTTTTAAGACAAAAACAGCACGAATAAACAAGTTATAAGCAGTGTTTCTATGGAAAAGCAAAAAATATTTAAATATATATTATATGTTCTTAAAACCATTTCTTTCTTTTTTTTTTTTTTTAAAATATATTTTATTGATTTTTTACAGAGAAGAAGGGAGAGAGATAGAGAGTTAGAAACATCGATGAGAGAGAAACATCGATCAGCTGCCTCCCGCACATCCCCTACTGGGGAAGTGCCCGCAACCAAGGTACATGCCCTTGACCGGAATCGAACCTGGGACCCTTCAGTCCGCAGGCCGACGCTCTATCCACTGAGCCAAACCGGTTTTGGCCTTAAAACCATTTCTTGCACCATCTCACCACCTGCTGCCTTTTGCTTATGGAAAAATCTGTGACAAAGAAAAACTGCCCACCCTGGCCAGTGTGGCTCAGTGATTATAGCGTCAGCCTGAGGACTGAAGGATCCCGAGCTCAATTCCTGGTCAAGGGCACATACCTGTGTTGCAGGTTAGACCCCGGCCCCAGTCAAAGTCTGGGTCAACTATCTAGGACTGCTTTACAGTTCCCCAAAGAGTGTCATGTTCTAAATAACCTGTATTCTAAACTGTCACATCAAAGTTTCTCTCTCTTCCCTTCTTCCCTCCCCTCCCCTACATTCTCTCTGGAAAAAAGAAAGAAAAATTGCCTTATTCTCATCCTTCTCCTATCCAGCCCAAGCTACACGTACAGTGAGTGAACTCTAAAGTAAATATAGGCAGTTTTAAATAGTACATATAACATGAAAATCTCTGAAAGTATGTATTTACTCATATATTACTCCCTCATCTATTAGCCAATTTTGGCACTTCAAAAGCTTCCATCCCATCTCAATTGACAGAAAGAAACATTCCTTACATATTTAGTTTACCATGGTAAAATAAAAATTAACTGATCCTCCCCAGTGCTCAATTCAACAATAGTGAGAATTCAAGATGGGGCAATTTTCAGTTATTCTATAGCTTTGAATCCTCTAAATTCAAGACAGCATGGGGAAGAGAAATACAGAAGTCACTGAAAAAAACACAGAGAGAGAACCTCAAACTAGAGCAGCACTGTAATACAATTTTATGCAATGATGCAAATGTTTCTGTATGCAATGCCCAATATAAGCATTTAAAATGTGGCCATGCCCTAGCTGGTCTGGCTCAGTGGATAGAGTGTCAGCCTGAGGAATGAAGGGTCCCAGGTTAGATTCCAGTCAAGGGCACATGCCTGGGTTGTGGGCTCGATCCTCAGTAGGGGGCGTGCAGGAGACAGTCAATCAATGATCCTCTCTCATCATTGATGTTTCTATCTCTCTCTCCCTCTCCCTTCCTCTCTGAAACCAATAAAAACATTTTTTAAAAATTTAAAAAAATAATAAAAAGAAAATGTGGCCAGTGCAACTAAGGAACTGCATTTTTTTTAAGTTTACATATTTAATATATGGCTAGTGGCTACTGAGCAGTAAAGACTTACAGGTTCAAAGGTGGAGAACAAAATAATTGGACTTTTCTACAAAATTACAAACAGCAAGAAGTACCCCAAATCTAATTATAAATGTTAACAGGCCAATAAGATAAAATAAAATATGTATTTTTGTCCTTACCTCTTTAAGGTTATTTATTTGTTGGATATAGCTAGTCTGTGCAGCCTCCAATTGAGTAATATACCAATGCTGGTCCCGGCATTTTTGAAAGAAAGTTGGTGAACGAACCTGAAACCTTAAAAAAATAGATGCACATGAAAAATAATCCAAATAATAAAATATCATCAAACAAGCCTTGAATCTATAACTATAAATTCTAAAATTTTAAGTTTCATTATCATGTGAGGCCAAAATTCAAAATGTATTCAGAGCTCCTATTTCCTATACATGTACTTTACAAATTATAGTAAAATAAGGTTCTGTAAGTCATCTATAAATCAGTTGTCTAAACTTAAACTGAAGAGTTCTAAAGAAATACCATTACATATCATGGTTAACCTACTAAAGCATTATTTATTATAATAATCTAGCTAAAATACAAGGTTGATCATGACTCAAGAACAGGACCATACTATGCAGGAAGGAGGAAGCTAACGTTTCTTGACTAGGTCAGGCCCTAGCAAAATAGGTAGTTTTTAGGCACTGCCCTTTTTCCTTCCTTCTTCCATCTCAATTTCCCTATTTCCTGTTCCTCAGTAAAAAAATGACTTAAAAGGTCAACTGCCCAGAACTGCTTTACAGTTCCCCAGTCTTATGTTATAAATAACCTATATTCATGTTCTAAATTATATTCCCAACCCCTCCAGAGAGCAACACAAAATCAAAACTCTGCATATATCACAATATAGTATATTTTAGCTAGAGTTAAGAAAAAAAACAAACAAATATCTATATTAATGCCTATGGTGAATAAATGACAGGGTCTTAATCTATTTAGAGCTATCTCTCTATTTAAAAAGCTAATATGCATTAAAGCAGGGGTCCTCAAACTTTTTAAACAGGGGGCCAGTTCACTGTCCCTCAGACCGTTGGAGGGCTGGACTATAGTTTAAAAAAAAACTATGAACAAATTCCTATGCACACTGTACATATCTTATTTTGAAGTAAAAAAACAAAATGGGAACAAATACAATATTTGTATTTGCATGTGGCCCGTGGGCTGTAGTTTGAGGACCCCTGCATTAAAGCAAAAGAAGCCTTCCACCTTTGTTATATAGCATAATATGACTCCAATTACAGTGGAAAAAAATTACAGTAACATATAAAGATGTTTCTAAAGAGTAACAAGAGGCAAGGCTGATTTGGAAGCTTACAAATCCTCTTTCTAGTCTTGCCAATCTTATGTTAACTACCATCCCATTCTTTTCCTACAATTTTACAGCTAGTGTAAGAAGCTACTGACCATCTAATAGTTATCTGCAGCAGGTGTCTATTTTCCGTAAGGATATTCATGTAGCAGAGAGTGGAAAAAGTTTACTGGACCACCATTCTGAGTGGATAATGCCTAGTCAGTATCCAATATAATAAAAGCCTAGTATGCAAATTGTTTGACTGGGAGTTCAACCACTCGCTGACATGCACTGACCGCCAGGGGACGGCGCGGAACATGGTGGGCGTGAGCGATGAAGCTCTGGCAGCAGGCGGGCAGTGGAGTCGCTGCCGGCCCCAATGGGCCCCAACAAGAATGGGACTGCAGCGGGATAGTGGAGCAGGTGAGTGGGTGGTGCCAGGCCAAGGCAGTTGCGAACAGGGGCCCGGATTACCCAAAAGACAGCGACGGCTGCAGGAGGCGGGGCCACCACCTGGCTCCCAGGCACTGAGGAACTGGGTGGGCAGCCCGGCCACAATCGATCATCCCACCAACGGGATGGTGGAGCAGCCAAGCCACAGTGGAGTGCCAGGTGGGGCTACAAGGCTAGGAGTGCAAGCTAGAGCCTGATCCCCATAGGCTACCCCGAGGGACCTCACCCATGAATTTGTGCACCTGGCCTCTAGTACACAAATAAGATCTTTGAATGACTAATAAAAGCATGGTCAACCCTCAACATTTTTAGTGCCAAAACAAAAGCAAGTAGCCCTGGCCAGTGTCTCTCAATGGTTGGAGCATCAGCCCGCATGCCCAAGGGTCAGGGTTTAATTCCTGGTCAAGGGCACGTACCTAGGTTGTGGGTTCACTCCCAGTTGAGGCATATGCAAGAGGCAACTAGTCAATTTAACTCTCTCACATACATTTTCCTCTTTCTCTCTCTCTTTGTCCACCACCCCTTCCACTCTCTCTGAAAAAGCAATGGGAAAAATACCCTCAGGTGAGGATTAACAACAAGAACAACAAAATGAAAGCAAGCAGAAGATAAAATTCCTTAACTTTCTTTTTTTATATAAAATAAATTGTTATTGATTTCAAAGAGGAAGGGAGAGGGAGATAGAAACATCAATGATGAGAATCACTGATCAGCTGCCTCTTGCATGCCCCCTACTGGAGATCAAGCTAAAACTTGGGCATATGCCCTGATTGGGAATCAAGCTGTGACCTCCTGATTCATGAGCCACACTGGCTGAGCTACACTTTTTTTCTTTCGTTAAAATAAAAAATAAATACATATCTATATGCTAATTGCTCCTCCAACCGTTTGACCAGTCACTATGATGCGCACTAACCACCAGGGGGTAGACGCTCCAACCAGTACAGAGTCTATTTTTTAAGTATGCAAGTCCCCATTTGTAACATCAAATTAAAACATCTTGTAATAATGCTCAAAATTTCTGACTTGTGACGGTTACCCCAACATTAAATGGGGCTATTGTGGTATGATAGTGTTTATGTTCTGTCCTTTCTTGCAAATAACACACTAACTATTATCACTTAGTTTGATTCATCTCTATTCCCTTACTTTTCATTTGCTGTTATCTAGAAGGAACTGAAAATATTTTTGTGAAATTCAGCTTATAAAACCTGTCACCTTAATGTCAAGTGAAGAAAAAATGAAAGTGACCGTGTTTTTGATTTGCAAATAGTGAGGTTGCAATAAGTTCAATGGAGAAATAGAACCTTACTATATTTATTAGAAGTAGTTTCCTTTTTATGGAATTACTAACTAAATGCCAACATTTCTAATCTTAAATTATTCACTGACTACACAAGACTCCTGAAAGAAATGGTTAAGAACATAGTAAGATTATAGTTGGTATGAATTTCAATATTCACCTTTGTTAAATAGACTTTTAAAATAAAGTTCGGGTGACATTATTCCCTCATGATAAAAACCACCGTATCAAATGTTTCCTATTACCTTAAAATTACTGTATCATTTTGTCGATTCAAGTATCCTTCATTTGCAAGTAAGTCCAAACGGAAAAACCTATTATAACCCCAGCATTCTCCAACTTCAAAGTCAGATGCAAACTCTCGAATGATGTTTTTCGTAGGATCATTGCAGGACTGATGAACCATTTCTACACGATATTCATATCTAAAATTAAAAAAACTGAATATTAATATAGTTGGTAAACCAGAATAAAAAGACTCATCAAAACATTATGGTCATTAAGTAACTACCTGAGAAGAAAGTTTATATACAATTACATTTCTTTCAGAAGGATTGTATTATTTATAAAGACAGCAGTGTTATGAATGGCCTATCTCAACATGACTGGCAGTAGGTCTCTCTTTCCTCCCAATATTGTTTATCAATATAGCAGGTATGAAACATCACCTCAGTAAATAAACAAATTTGTATAAAATAGTACTTTCAAAGTTACTTTTGTTTGTTTTAGCAAAGCTATATGCTTTTTCATATATTCATTACCTATATTTCTTCACATGTAAAAATTCTGCCATTTCCTTTGAGATTTATCACCATGCAATTTTAAACTAAATAGTAAATTTTAAATACTCTATTTTTCCAATTCAAGTTAAAATAAATTAACTGTGCATTCAGAAATTCAAGCCTATAAACTCTTCTAACAGAAAATAAGTATAAATTGGGAAAGCCAATATATTCATATTTCCCTATCTTATAAAGTGTAAAACTTTCAAGTCTCCAAACTCATTTTTACTAAGAAAGCATTATTACAAAAAGAAAGAAAAGTGAAGAAATAAAGATAATCAGAAGGAAGACTCAACACTAATGTGGACAAAAAAGAAGTTCTATGGAAAATAACATCACAGGGTAATATGATCATAAATTCCTAAGTGCCCAGGTCATGGTGGGTAGTCATGCAGCAGGCCTATAATGTCTTTAGCAAGGTTTTAAGCCAGCCCTGTCCATTGTTCTTGTTCATCGAGGTTAATACACTTAGAAGTAATACCCCCTGAATACAATCTTAACTATCCTTTAATCCATTCCCCACCTTGCTTTCTCCAATCTTTCTCCCCTCCTAATTTCAAATGCAGAAAAGCTGCTGCAAGCCTGCTATTCTTGGGAGCATTTGAAATCCTGTTCACCAGCATATGTCATCAGTCTGGCTCAAATACATTTTTATAAAAATTCTCTACAAGTTTGCACATTCTTAGATCAGTAGTAACCAAAATGCTTCTCCTTTTTGGCAGAGGTAAATTTTGTATCTGTGTGTGTGTGCTTTTAATTTAATTTTTCAATTACAGTTTACATTCAATTTACTTTGTATTAGTTTCAGGTGTACAGCAAGGTGGAGGTAAAAAAATTTTTAAATGTGTTTTTATTGATTTCAGAGTCAGGAAGGGAGAGGGGGAGAGAGAGAGATAGAAACATCAATGATGAGAATCATTGTTCGGCTGCCTCCTGCACATCCCCTACTTGGGATCTAGCCCACAACCTGGGCATTAACCCTGGTCAGGAATCAAACCATGACCTCCTGGCTCATGGGTCAACACTCAACCACTGACCCCCCAGCCAGGCTGGAGGTACATTTTTTAAAGAAAAACACAATAGCTCAACCTGCCATTTCTGCTGGCAAAGTAGACATAAAAAAAAAAATTACAGCTGTTTACCTACAAATACTATGTGTTAATATTTCTTTAAGCACTGTCAAATTATTTTTATATTAGTGTCTCTTAAAATGTGTTATCTAGATTGATGACACAAAGAACTAACCAGTACAAAAGCTGTGATATTTTTTTTTGACTGATTACATTTTATAGAAGTCATGAAGCCAGCTCCGTAGTACAAAGGGTACCATTATATGTCCAGAAATAAACTCAAATATTGATGCACAATTGATTTTTGACAAGGGTGCCAAAATCTTTCAATAGAAAAAGTCTCTTCAACAAAAAATTAACTCAAAATGGATCAACAACCTAAACGTAAGGGGTAAAACTTACTTTCAGAAGAAAACATGGGGATACATCTGTATGAATTCAAATTTGGCAATGGATTTGTAGATTTGACTCCAAAAGTATAAGCAACAAAAGAAATCATAGATAACTTAGATTTCATTAAAATTAAAACTTTTTGTGCCCCAAAGGACATTATCAAGACAATGAAAAGATAACCTACAAAATGGGAGAAACTATTGTCAAATCTTATACCTGGTAAAAATTTCGCATATGAGATAAAGAATACTTATAACAATTTAATAACAAAAAGTCAAGCAACCCAATTTAAAAATGAGCAATGAACTTGAAAAGACGTTTGTCCAAAAAAAGTTATATACAAAGGCCACTAAGCACATAAAAAGATGTTCAATTTCACTGGTCATTAAGGAAATGCAAATCAAAACCACTATCAAAACCACTATTAGATACCACTTCATACTAGGATAGATATAAAATATATTTTAAAATGGAAAATAAGTGTTGTTGACGATGTGGAGAAATACAAATTCATGTAAATTGCCAGTAGGAATGTGGAATGGTACAGCCATTGTGGAGAACAGTCTGGCAGTTCCTCAAAATGTTAAACACAGAATTACCATATAAACCAACTATTCCACAATTAGGTATACATTAAATAAAGAAAGCAAGCATATGTCCCTATAGAAACCTGTACATGAATATTTATAGAATTATTCATAATAGCCAAAAAGTGAAAACAATCCAAATGTCCATCAACAAACCAATGATTAAACAAATTGAGGTATATATGTACATTGGGTATTATTCAAACATATTCTCCTATATAATAAAAGGCTAATATGCAAATCAACCAGACAGCAGAAAGATCGGTCACTATGACGCACACTGACCACCAGGGGGCAGGTGCTCAATGCAGGAGCTGCCCCCTGGTGGTCAGTGCGCTCCCACAGGGAAAGTGCCACTCAGCCAGAAGCCCTGAGCCAGGCTCATGGATGGTGAGCACAGCAGCGGTGGTGGGAGCCTCTCCTGCCACCACTGTAGCGCTAAGGATGTCCGAATGCTGGCTTAGGCCTGGACTGCAATAGGGCACAGGTCAGGTTGAGGGACCAGCCCCTCCACCCCCGTCCCTGCCCCAATTGCATGAATTTCGTGCACCAGTCCTCTAGTAAAGGAATAAAATTCTGATACGTGCTTCAACATGAGTGAACCTTGCAAACACTATGCTAAGCCAAACACAAAAGTTACAATATTATATGAACTTTTATATGAAATATCCAGAATAGGCAAATACAGAGAGAAAGCAAAGTAGTATTTGTCTAGGAATGGGGGAAGGAAAGAATGGGCAGTGTTTACTTACAGGGTATAGGGTGTTCTGGGGTGAGAAAAACATGCGGAAATTAGAGAGAGGTGGTAGTTGTACAACACTGTAAATGCACAACATTTCACTGAACTGCATATTTTTATACGGTTAATTATATTTCATGTAAATTTCACCTAAAAATAAGTTTTTTTACTATTTTAAAAGTGAGTAGTGAAAAACTCAAAACTCAGAGAGAAACAATCAAGAATACTGAAAAATTTGGGAAGATATTAATGCAGATGGTCAAATACATCCAGGAAAAGGATAGGTAGAAGTTTAAAGTCAATATAAAAGTTTTTGAAAAATCAGTCCCTTTGTATGAAAAATCATATAATGCTTGAAAAAAAGTCATTTTTTCTCTGCATTAGTTCTTTAAAATCATGACTAATATAGACCTATTTTTCTAATAAATATGGGTAATTAATCTAAGTTAAATTACACAGCACCTCAACTTCAATCTTAGATAAAACTAAAAACTTAAATTGGAATATTCCAACTTAAATTCTTTCCTTCTATCAAACTGAAAGTCTGAATAAATTTAACAACTGTTAAAATTTTAGTCTGACTAAAATTACTCCCCCAGAAAAATTCTACTCTTTCCTTCAACCATTCAAAATTCCTGTTTCTAAAACAAGTCACTAAGCATATACTGTTAAAGAGTCAATTCCAGGATGTCACTCAAGTGCAGATTTCCTCTGAAAGCCCACACACATGTGAATGCTAACACATACCTATTGTATTGAGAAACTTAAGCATAATAAAATTATGGAAAAGTACTTCTGCAGGGTCCCAGGAGATATTAAAATCTACTAGACAATGATACAATAATTTTTTATTCCCTATTTTGACAGTTAAACTACCTCAACTGTTAAACTCTTAATTGCATAATTAAATGACATTCAGTATTTGATGAAAAAGTATTCAAAACTCTTCTCTAGGATTATTGAAGCATTAACAGAATTAACAGATAATAAGATATCTTTTTTCAGAACTTATCACAGTCTAGCTTTGTTATTATACCACTGCATATACAGTATCAGAACCATGTTCTATCGTCCTGTCCTTTATGCTTTGTCATGTATTTTACTTCTACATTTATAAACTGTAAAATACAATGTTAATATTTGTTGTTTAAATAGTAAATTATCATTTAAAGTTATCTTAATAGTAAAAAATTGTTTAACTTTACCAAGCAATTTCCATTTCTGCTGTTCTTAATTTGTTTAGCTTCAGATGTCCAACTAGTATTATTTTCCTTGTATGTACAGCAGGTGCTTTAACATTTCTTATAGTCCATGTTTGAAAATATGCCTGAAAATGTCTTTACCTTACCTTTATATTTTAAGATATTTTTGCGGGGTACAAAATCCTAAATTTTTTTTTCTCTTCAGCCTTTCTAAGACGTCCCTTTATAATTCCACTGGTATTGTTTCCAGTGAAAACTATTGACTTCATCCTTACCTTTGTGCCTCTATAAATGCGGTGTTTTTCCACTGCTAGTTTTTTCTTTGTTTGTTTTTTTAAATATATTTTTATTGATTTTTTGCAGCAAGGAAGGGAAAGGGATAGAGAGCTAGAAACACCGATCAGCTGCCTCGTGCACACCTCCTACTGGGGATGTGCCCACAACCAAGGTATATGCCCTTGACTGGAATTGAACCTGGGACCTTTCAGTCCGCAGGTCAACGCTCAATCCACTGAGCCGAATTGGTTAGAGCTCCACTGCTAGTTTAAGATTTTCTGTTTATCAATAGTTTTGAGCAATTTGATTATAATGTGCTTTGATGTTCCCTTCATGTTTCATCTGCTTGTAGTTCACTGAGTTTCCTAAATCTGTGTGTTTTAATTTTTTTTTTTAAAAAAATATATTTTATTGATTTTTTACAGAGAGGAAGGGAGAGAGATAGAGAGTTAGAAACATTGATGAGAGAGAAACATCGATCAGCTGCCTGCCGCACATCTTCCACTGGGGATGTGCCCGCAACCCAGGCACATGCCCTTGACCGGAATCGAACCTGGGACCTTTCAGTCCGCAAGCCGACGCTCTATCCACTGAGCCAAACCGGTTTCGGCTCGGCTGTGTGTTTTAATTTTTATCAAGTTTAGAAAGTTCTCCCCATTTTTTCTTTATTTGTTCTTCTGATTCCCTTCTTTAAGGAATCCAGTTATCTATACATTAAGTTGTTTCAGGTTGCTCCGTTTTGGAATTTGTTTTTCTATGTTTCATCTTGGGCAGTTTCTATTGCTATGCCTTCAAGTGTGAGTAATCTTTTCTTTTGTAATATCTAATCTGTCATTCATGCCATCCAGTGTACTTTTCATTTCCAATATAGTTCATTTTCAAGTTCAATTTGAGTCTTTTATATATCTCAACTTTTGAACAAGTGGAATAGTTAGAACTGTCTTAAATGTCCCTGTTTCCTACTTCTCACATGAAAACCAAGCTGTCTTTTTTAAAGCCAGACATTCAAAGATTTCAAAAAATCTAAAACACAAGCTTTCTCATCAAATATTATTTCACTTCAAAAAAGTTATATTCATGAAGATGGTCTTGATGTTAACACATAATTATAATTTTTAAGTGAATTAATAAAATTTTTAAAATCTTGTTTTAATTTCTAATTCAGATAATATCAATAGATATAATCCACATAAAGAAAAAGTTCTTGCTTAATTTTGATTGATTATTCTCATTATTGGTTATGTCTTCCCATCTCTTTGAATGCCAATTAAACTTTGATTAAACAGCACATATTGAATATTTTACTTTGTGGGGTGCTGGACATTTTGTGATCTTATAAATTTTCATGAGCTTTGCTCTGGGGTACAGTTATTTGAAAATATGATCCTTTGAGATGTTGCTTTTATTTTTTAGGTAGGTCTAGAGCAGTGCTCAGTCTAGAACCTAGCTGTTCCCCGCTACTGAGGCAAATGCCTCATGAATTATAAATTTCTCCACTGTCATAATGGGAACAGACAGATCCTGGCCCTGTATGAACACCAGACACCATTTCCTGTAATCCTTTCAGATTATTTTTTCCCCAAACTCAGCTTCCTCACAAATGAGCCCTAAACAGTACTCTTCTGAGTACTTGAAGGGAACACCCTACAGATCTCTGGAGCTCTCTGCCTATGCAGCTCTCTCCTTTCTGGTATTCTGTCCAATACACTCTAGCTACATTGGTCTTCCTGACACTCAGCACTGTCTACCCCATGCAGGGAGTCTGCCACACTATCTCAGTTCACCCTCCTGAAAATTCTCTCATGGCTGTAGACTGGGGTAATCATAGAACTCATCTGTCCATTTCTTATCTATTGGGAATTGCTTCCATTGGTTGCCTCATGTCCAATGCCTAGAAAATGTTTATTTTTCTCTTTTCTTTTTGGTTATTGCAAGAGAAAGGGTTACTCTTCTATTACTCCATTATAACTGAAAGCAGACATTTCATATCAAATCAATAGATTTTAATGTAATGAAGTCAAATTTACTAATATGGTTTTAGATTCCACATTACAAATTACATTTACCAACCAAGCACTCGTTCAATTTGGTGTAATGTCAAAAGAGTCACAATTATCTAAAACTGCTTTTTCCAATGTTCCTCCCTTTTTTACCAGAAGAAAATTATTTTTTATAACTTTGGTAACAAAGACGTATTGTTATTGATCATTCCTCAGTGCATAAAAATACTGAATTTTTATATTGCACACTGGAGACTAATATAATGTTATGTGTTAATTAGACCTCAATATTAAAATAAATATGTTTACCCTTAACAAAAAGGAGATTAGTGGTTGCCTGGGACAGAGAAAGAGGAATAGGAAGTAACTGGTGATGGGTATAGAATTTCTTTGTGGGATGATAAAAATGTTATAAAATCAGATATTAGGGATGTGTTGTAGAACTGGGGGAATAACACACACAAAAAATCTACTGAATTGTACACTTATTTATAAGAAAAATTTTATGGGAGTTAAATCATATCTCATTAAAAAAAACTTCTCTCAACTGCATGATATTCAAAATCTGTGAGGCTAGATTTTATATATAGACTTTAACCAACAGAACTTATTGCACACAAATAAAATATAGAAGCAGATATGGGAATCCAGCCATCTTCTTTTTAAGTATATATCAAGAGATTTCCAAAAGTGCCAAATACATATATTTTTATCAGGAAAAAAATATTTATGTTAATATACAATAGGTTATTATTTTTAAATTAATACAATTTTTGTATTTTTTTCCTCTGTTTTAACTTCTAATTCAGAAAGTATCACTAGATATAACACCCATAAAAAAAAAACTCATTAGGGTTCCCAATAAATTTTAAGAGTATAAAGAGTCCTGAGGCCACACAATTTGAGAACTGCCAGTCTACATCATCATCCTATTCCCGGGATGTACACTTTCACAAATATAATACAGTAATTAACAAAACAGTTACTAAAAAAATTATAAAGAGGAATGTACCAGTATGTAAACACACAATAAAGTTTGTTATTTAATCACATGTCTTACTTGGAAGTTTCAGGCAAGCCAGCTGAGAGTTCCAGAAACACAGATAAGTAGTAACCACGAACAACTCCATTTCCATCCTTAAAAAAAAAAAAAGTTATAGAAATACAAATTCCAGCCACAATTAAAAAAAAATACAGACTACTATATGATATTTGGATTGGGAAGTACTTCTAAACTTAGAAGTAATAAGAAAAATAATAGAAAGACCAAAAGATTTGATCTTGTAACCATTCAAAACTTTTTTACATTAAGAAAAACACCTGATGGCTGCCTTTCCAGCCACTTTTTGATGTATAGAGGCATAACATGCACTCTTGTGTCTTGTTGGCTGGTTTGCTGTAAATGTTATTGTTAATAATAAATGTTCCCTCCTGTTCAGATTGACAACAAAGTGGCACAGAAGCCAACTTGAAGAGATTAAATATGTGTAAATCCATGAGTTCATAATATTTTTTAAAACCTAATTAATCACTTTCAGAGAATATGGAAAACTGGTAAATAACAGGAAAGAATCCTGCCTCCTCTAAATGAACTGTTATTGATTAATCAAATAATAAAGGAAAGTATCTCTTTATAAAAGTATGACAATAAGTAAAAAAAAACAAACCACCCATAAAATGAGAACATCACAGTTTTTGTTTTGTTTTGAAATATATTTCATTGATTTTTTACAGAGAGGAAGGGAAAGGGATAAAGAGTTAAAAACATCGATGAGAGAGTAACATTGATTAGTTGCCTCCTGCATACCCCCCACTGGGGATGTGCCCGCAATCAAGGTACATGCTCTTGACTGAAATCGAACCTGGGACCCTTGAGTCCACAAGCCGATGCTCTATCCACTGAGCCAAACTGGTCAGGGCAGAGAATATCACTGTTTTGAGTGATATAGGCAATGAGCATCAATAGCTGCCAATACCACAAAGAGATACGACTAGATATCATGTGATTTAAAAACCAGCACTACTTATATTCCTGTCATAGGAATGAACTATGTATCTCATCATGCCACTGAATCCAGCTGCCAATTTACAGAAAATACATAGATCAAGGGAACATACTGAAATTTACAATGAGTATACAATTAGCATACGTGTGCTCTGATGGCTTTCTGTATTTTATTTTTAAAAACGCTTTTAAGATAAGAATTTCAAACATGTCTTCTGAAGACAAGAATCTTCATACAAACAAGAAATAAGAGTCAACAATGTCTGGATTCATACTGTTCATATTTAATTCACTTTTCTGTAGAATTAGTAATAGAACTTATAAAGAAACATTAAAATTGTCTTTAATTTCTTACTCCACCAAAAAAGTGAACTAGCGTACTACAGAACCCTGAAAGAAAGATCTTGAGTTTAAAAGAATTATTAAAAATATGAAAAACTTACTGGGTAAACTTTTAATCTCCAACAAAGTCCTGAAACTTGAAGAGGTGGACTGTAAACAGGATCTGCTCTCTGGCGCAAAGTGCTAAAGTAAAAGAAAACCAATCAAATCAAAAGATCAAAACCAACCACTTTACTTATGTTACTTCAAGCCATGGACAAAGTAAAAGGTGACTAATCAAGTCAAGATTACACTGGATAAATTTATATATAGCTGCATTTAGAAATAAAATAAAATTTAATAATACTAAAATATTCAGCAGTATCTTCAGTTTTAGGTCACCTCAAAACTGTGATATTTAAGAGAAAAGGGAAAATAACTACGTATACTGAATTTAATTACCATTTCAACAAGTAATCTTTCACCAATAAAGAAGAAAAAAAAGTCTCTCTTCCTCATATCCTTGGTAGTATAATTATCCTTTTTTAAAAAATGGAAAAACAAAAAGAGCATGTGCTAAATCTTAATGTGGGGAAAGTCTTGGAAAGTTTATATTTTAGCCACAAAATTATCCCATAAGAAAAACAAATTATATATGAAGTGGTATAAATTCTCAATTTGCCTTATTTTGATGGTTATCACCTCCTGGAATTTTCCTCCCCAGGCAAGACCTTATATTCTTGGTTTGCAGCCCTTAAAGACAAATTTCTAGGACCTTTTTGTTTTATGGTCTTCATTCATAATCTTAGAGAAAAAGCAATAATGGCTAAAAAAAAAATTAACATGTAAATTACAAAGCTTAAAATAATGACTTCTTGTCCTCACTTTGAGTTCAGAGAAAAAGGACCCAAATGGACTTGTTATTATCACTTTTATTTCTAAATATGGGTAATGGGCTCATTGACCCCTATCATCCCATTCATCCCATCTTAACAAAAGCCAAGTGGACCCTATTGTATAAGACATGACTCCCTTCCCCTGACTAGAGAAGCAATTGGTCCTGAAGAAATAATACAATCCAAACAAATGACCATTATGCTTCTAATAGGAAATTTGTTTCTGCTAAGACAACACTGAGTGTCACAGTTCAATAGTCTATATCCTACCCTGGAATAACACCTTCCTGGCACATACTAAAATCCAAAGTTGTCAAAAACTCTTACCTGAAATTCTCTAAAACAAAAGTAGCTGAATCATAAGATGGTACTAATTCACTAAAAAAAAAAGGAAAGACAAATTATTATTTGGCTTCTGTAAGTTTAACATTTCATTTAGTTAAAAAACAGAGTCCCTCAATAATATCTTAAAATTTTTATTCCATTAAAATAAGTCCCTAAGAAAATTTTTAATCCTTATTAAAAATAACATAAAATCAAATAAATTCATAAAACCATCAGAAGATTACTTACATCAAATGTTTGTAATGAAATAGAGGGCTAAACAAATACTTTATAAAATATCTTTTTTTACAAGGCAATATATAATTAAGTATTAAAATAAGTATAAGAGACAAAACAGTACTCATGAAATAGGAAAAGGAAGAAACTGATGCTTAGGCTAGAAACCTGAAATATAGAACCAATATAAACAGATTTAAAAAACAAAAGAAACAACAAAACCAAAGGACATCACAATAAATTCCCAAATTTCCGTCTTCAGAACAAATTATGAGGAATACTGAAAGACCCTGAAGAGAATTTTTACTAGGAAATAAACCTATGCAATATTATAGGATAAGAATACATAATCACAAAAGGGGCAAGCCTTAGGATGGACTAGCACATTAACAGTTCTTGGCAAAGCAGGACTACCTCAGGCAACTTTAGGTCATAAGGGTTTCTCCAAAGAGAAATGAACTATGACCACATAAGGTAGGCTGCTAAATATCCTTATATCATGAGAATAGTCTGTAGCATTTTCATTAGAATACCATAGAATCATAGTCACTAAAATTTTTATGATACAGACACTGCCATACATAGTACTGTAACACAGTGTTATACCTTTAATATATAAAACTATAAATTTACCAATAAGATAAAACTGTAAGCCATTCACATCTTCTGATGTACTTATTGAAGTTCAATTCATGAAAATTTGTGATTACCAAAATAAGATATAAGATCCATCCATACCATTTTCACACTATTATAGTGCCTAAAAAAATTTGTGGTTTGTGCCCTAGCCGGTTTGGCTCAGAAGAGTGTCAACCTGTGGACTGAAGAGTGCCAGGTTCGATTCCGGTCAAGGGCACATGTCTGGGTTTCGGGCTCGATGCTGAGTAGAGGGCATGCAGGAGGCTGCTGATCAATGACCCTCATCATTGATGTTTCTATCTCTCTCTCCCTCTCCCTTCCTCTCTGAAATCAGTAAAAATATATTAAGAAAAAATTAGTGGTTTGCCAGTAAAAATATAGATTAAAAAATTCATTATTGTTTATTTTATGATAATAGCTCACATCTTTTTTCATCTCCTTCAGAGGTTATCTGAAATTGTGCCAATGTTAACCACTCGGCTTGCAAGTAAGGTACAGCTTTATCTTCTCATAGTTTTCTTTATTTCTTTACCTCCTCTACTCTGGTCTTTAAGATGACTGAATTTATTACTTTAAACAAAAAATTCTTATCTTTTATGTTCTACCTGAGGACAACTATACAGTCTTATTTCCTACAACACCCCACCAATAGTCCTACAAATTCTGGTTGAAATTATTTCCTTGCTATCCTCCAAATATAGCCGCTCTTATCACATCCTAAATATGTTTCAAGATCTTCTATGATTTCTTTCTAGATTATAAAGTTTTGACCACACTAGTCTTTTCAGAATTTCTGACAGAAGAGTATATAACTGAGTAACACATACTGAAATTTAAGTTACAATTCTCTACTATTTAATTTGAAATATATACTCAGTAAATTAGTTCCTCTTCCACGTCTCCTTTGCAGCACCCACAATAGCACTGAGCACATAGTCTTGAATAAATAACATTGCATTTGCTTAATGACCTTTTATTCTCCATTGTGGCTCCATCACCAATCATCAATTGATGGAATTTCACCCAGTCCCATGATCTTAAAGCTTAGAACATTCACCACTGCTCTGCACATCTAAACTTTTGGTCTGTAACTTAATGTCAATAAATGTGGCCTTTCTTATTTGGCCCTCTTTCTTTGCTGATCAATGCACCAACATATGAACACACCTGTTTCCTGTGTACTGATTGCCACTCATAAACTAAGTTTATAATAAAAATTATGGTTCAGTTATAAGACAAAATTTCCAGTATTTTTAACAAAATTTCCAGTAAGAATAAGCATTCCTGGTGAGAGGGAGTACTACAGGGACCTTCACCTATGGCAAGCTCCCTAATTATCGGATTTGTAAAAAAAAAAAAAAATTGGTTTCTTCTTTATTGATGTGCCTTCTGCCAAAACCCTCACCCCCATGGTGTCTGTGCCCATTGGTCAGGCCTATATGCATGCATACAAGTCATAAGGCTGTTTCTTAAATGTACCACAGTTCTCAAAATGCTAGAAATGCTTGACAGTATTTCATAAGCCATCTCTAAAGTTTAAGATGAACTTAAGTCTGTCATACCAATATATTTCTCTGAAGCAGTGGTTTAACCTCTCATCTTAGGAATAAGCTGAGAGTTAAAAAAAGAAAAAGAAAAAAAAAGACTACAAACTTCTACCTGTAGCCAATGTTATGGACTGAATTATGTCCCCTCAAATTCATATGTTGAAGCCCTAACTTCCAGCATGACTACATCTGGAGACCTTTAGGGAGGCATTTAAGGTTGAATGATGTAATAAGGGCAGGACCCTAACCAGAGTTTGTTAATTAACAAACAATATGCCTCGTTTCTTTAGAAGAGGAAAAGACACCAGAGAAAGTTATAAGACAAAATTTCCAGTAAGAATAAGCATTCCTGGTGAGAGGGAGTACTACAGGGACCTTCACCCACGGCAAGCTCCCTAATTATCGGATTTGTAAAAAAAAAAATTTTGGTGGTTTCTTCTTTATTGATGTGCCTTTGCCAAAACCCTCACCCCCATGGTGTCTGTGCCCATTGGTTAGGCCTATATGCATGCATACAAGTCATAAGGTCCATAACTGAACCATAATTTTTATTATAAACTTAGTTTATGAGTGGCAATCAGTACACAGGAAACAGGTGTGTTCTATGCATGCAGATAAAAGGTCATGTTGAGGACAGAGCAAGGAGCCAGCTGTCTACAAGCCAAGAGGAGAGCCTCACCAGCAATCACATTTTCTAGCACTTTGATATTAGACTTCTTCACCCCAGAACTGTTGTATAAGCCATCCATTTGTGGTATTTTGTTATGGCAATCCAAGCAAACTAATACGCTCACAGAGATTTTATTTCAAATGTTCTGGGGGTATGGGCCAACAGTGGTAAATTTCCAAAAGAATCCCAAGTGAATCTAATATACAACCAGTGTTAAGAATCACTGCTCTTAACAGCACAGGGTAATTTAAACATGCTTAAAAAAATATGCTGTTCAGAAGAATTCTAAGACTGCCCAGGGTAAAAACTAATAAGATACATAGAAAGCAACCAACTATTATTTCCAGATCTTTTAGGATCTGGAGATAACATCTTATCACCATTAAAATCTTTTGGCATTTCATGCTTTATGTGTTCTCCTTTTGAGAACATACATGTAAATGAGTTATAGTCACTGTGTAATAAGATGTAAGTAAACTCAAAGGTAAATAAAAGAACGGATATGAGAAAACACGGCTGGACCTTGACAACATTATGCTAAGTAAAACAAGTCAGACAGAAAGAAAAGTGCTATATGATCTCATGGATATGAGGAATCTTTAAAAGAGAGGTCAAAAGGTACCAACTTCTAGTTACAAAACAAACAAGTTTATAGAACTTTATTTTACAGCATGGTGATTATAGTAATAACACTGTATTGTATATCTGAAACCTACTAAGAGAGGTCTTAAGAAAAAAATGTTTTCTATGTATGGTGATAGATGTAAACTATAATCTAGGCTAATTATGATAATTTCTCAGTACATAAAATATTATATCATTATATCATCCTGAAACAGGATGTTATTTCAAGTATATCTTCACTTAAGAAAAGGAATGAACGGACACACATGAAATAAAATGTGATCAATTATTTCTTCTCTACAGTATGGAAGATGAAGATCCAGGAAGAAACCAATTCCAAATTCACTACCACCCTCTCTTTTCACTAAAAAATGTATAAGTCCACAAGAATTTTTTTAAACCAGATTTATATGCATAAACTAAAGTTCGCTAGACCACATCATTATAAACCGAACCTTAAAAAATGAAGCAAAGAAAAACAGCCTTTTTTTAAAAACGATTATGTGCATTTGCACATAAACTTAATATGAAAATGGAATTTAAAAACTGTGTCATACCTGGTAAAATCTGGTGGAACAGGAGTGGTAACAAAGGATGCCATGGGCTTGCGATGAACTTGCTGAAACATCATGAGGATCTCTGAGCTCTTAGATATCAATTCACTCTTACTACAAGATCGTAACTGTGTGAAGAAACAAAGTACCTGACTAAATAAACAAAATTACTGTTCAGTGGCAAATAAAAATTGTTTTGGTTATATACTGAAAAAAGTTAGGTTAAAAAAATAGAATGACTTTAAGTGGGTTTTAGAATGAAAAATCTACAAAAAAAATCTAGGTTATTTATTTCTATTCTAAACAATATAGTCAGGGAGTAAGTGTCTTTGATTTTAAAGCATTTTTCTCTCCTCATATCTTAGGGTAAATCCAATTTTAAAAAACTACAAATATACTTTGCACTACAGTGAAGCCATTAGGTATATTAATGAACAAACTCCTATGGGTTTATAGCCTTCAAATAGGTTTTCTCAAAATGTATTCCAGGGACCAGAGAAACATTAAGATATAATGCACACACAAAAAGTTTTAAGCTATATCGATTTGGGAAACAGCCAAAGGTAAAAAAGTGATAAATCCAACTTTAATAAAATAAACATGGTAGTTAAGACTACTAATTTTGTATTCAAAACAAATAGTTCAAAGTTCTAATTCTGCTACAAACTAATTATATGACGCTGTCAGTTCATTTGCAAAACTGAAATAATATCTATGATTGTTTTGCTGGGTTTAACAATCATGAAGCTGAATGTGAAAAAGCTTTGTAAACTATTAAGAGCTAAACTGTGTCTCCCCAAAACCCTTATGTTGCAGTCCCAATTCCTCAGAATGTAATCGTATCTCTCTATCTATCTATCTATCTATCTATCTATCTATCTATCTATCTATCTATTTATCTATCTATCTATCTAAAAGCCTAATATGCAAATTGTCCCCTCAGGAGTTCAACCGGGAGTTCAATCTCTTGCTATGACATGTGCTGACTACCAGGGGGCAGTGCAGAACGAAGGAAGGCCCCAGCTGGCAGCCTGGGAAGGGAGGCCCCGATTGGCCCTGATCATAGGCCAACCCTAGGGACGCTACCCTGCATGAATTTCATGCATTGCGCCTCTAGTTTGGGGATAAGGTCTTTAGGAAACAGAGAGAAGGCAGCCATTCACAAACCAAACTGAAGGACCTCAGGGGAAACCAAACCTGCCAATATCTTGATGTAAACCAGCCTCAGTCTAGAAAAATGAAAATAAATTTTTATTGTTTAAGCCTCCCCCAAGGATATGTTTTTATTGACTTTGCAGTGGTTCTCAACCTTCTGGTCCTTTAAATACAGTTCCTCATGTTGTGACCCAACCATAAAATTATTTTCTTTGCTACTTCATAACTGTAATGTTGCTACTGTTACGAATCGTAATGTAAATATCTGATATGCAGGATGGCCTGAGATGGCCCCTGTGAAAGGGTCGTTAGACTGCCAAAGCGGTCACGACCCACAGGTTGAGAACTGCTGCTTTAGAGAAAGAGTAAAGAGTAAGGGGGATAGAGGGGGGGAGGGGAGAAGGAGAGGGAGTGAGAAAGAGAAAGAAATACTGATGTGATAGAGAAACATCGATTGGTTGCCTTCTGTACATGCCCCGAAAGGATCAAACCAGCAACCCAGGTATGTGCTTTAAAAAACAACAACACTTTTTTGAGGAATAACTAACATAAATGATGTAAGATAAACTGCATGTATTTAAAGTGTGTAATTTGATTAAGTTTTGACAAATGTATATACCTGTGAAGCCATCACCATAGTCAAGATAGTGAACTTTACCATTATCTCTCAAAATTTGTTTGTGCTTGTTTGTAAGCTCTTCTGATTCCTTCCCCCTCCAGGCAACCTCCTATCTGCTTTCTTTCATTATAGATAAGTTCTCATTTTCTGGAGTTTTATGTAATTGTAATCATACACATTACGTACTCATTTTATGTCTGCCTCCTTTTTTGAGCAAAATTATTTTGCAATTTGCTCATATATCAATTGTAGCTTTATTTGTAAAAGCCAAAAGAAAAAGAAAAAGCGCAACCCAAACAGCCATAAACAGCCGAATGAAAACACAAATCATGGTATATAACATACAATAAAATACTACTCAGCAATTAAGAAGGAAAAGCAGCCCTAGCTGGTCTGGTTCAATGGTTAGAGTGTCGGTCCACAGACTAAAGGGTCAAGGATTCAATTCTCGCCAAGGACACATATCTTGGTTGCAAGCTCAATCCCGGGCCAGGTTGGGGTGCATGCAGGAGGCAACCAATCAATGTGTCTCACATCGACGTTTCACTCTATCTGTACCCCATTTCCACTCTTTCTAAAAAACAATGGGAAAAAATACCCCTGGGTAAGGATTAACAAACAACAAAAAGGAAAGGCAGATGAATATTGTGCTCTCTTTAGCAGCACACATACTAAAATATGAACAATACAGAAAAAATTAGTATAGTCCCTGCACAAGAGTGACACGTTAAAAAAAAAAAAAAAGACGAGTATACCAAATAGTTATATAACACTACACAATTATTTATTCACTCACTATATACTTAACACTCACCTTCCAGCAAACTAAAATATAAATTCTATGGGGACAGATTTTTTTTACTATTTTGTCCATTGCTATGTTCCAAATACCTAAAACAATGCCTGCTCTTTGATACTTAACTAAAACGTACTTAATAAAAACATTAAGTTTATAATAAAAATCACATAGTATATATATATAGGTAATTGGCAATAATATTCTGTCTCAAAGGCACCACTTAAGTCACAAAGTCAGAGATTTTTATCTTTTATAGACTTAGATGCTATGCACCATTTTTACAAAACAGAATAAATCTTAATTTTATTTAGTTCCCAAACCTGATGGAGGAAACATAAGAATCAGCTAAATCCTATTTCATAAAAATCCCTGGTAAAGCACATAGATCACAAGATCTTTTGATCTTATATAATCGCTATCAAAAAGAATTTTAAAGTATGTGGACAAAAAAGGGTAAAGGCTTCATTACATTTAATATTTCATTACCTGGTGCTCTACCTCCTGAAGTAAGGATTCCAAAAGCTCTGTTTCTTGTGTTAGAGAAGTCTTCTGACCTATTTAAAAATAACAAAACACCAAAAAAAAATAAAAATAACAAAACACCAATACTCATGCTCATTATTGTTTTAATAATAAAATTAACTTTCACAAAATACATTCAATAATAAGAAATTTAATTTTAGAAAAGCAAAACTTCATTACAGCTATCCTAAAAATCTTTCTCAGAGCTTTAAGAGGTTGATTCTAAATTCTAATAGCTCTGACAAGAGGATTTCAGAACCAACCCAAACTACAATTTTAAACAAAACATAATTTTTTTATTAAATTCATCTAAGAAATATATAATGACAATATACTTTGTAAAGAAATTAATGTTATTGCTTCTTCCAAAAGGGCTATAATGATTTAGAATAGTAAACTTTTTACTCAGTCAACAATTCTGAAATAATTCCTCCCCAAAACTTGTATGGCATAAAAAAAAAAAAAGTGGGCCATATATTTATGTTTACTGTCAGCAAAAGGTTATGTTCTTTGAACAAAAGAAGAACCAGTAAAAAAAGAATGCCCCAAAGTTCTCAAGAAACCGGAAAAACACAGGAATAAAGGAATCATTATTACAGAAATTATTATCAAAAAGGAAGAAAAAAACTGCTTCATAGGTTTAAAAGAAAGTTAACAAGATAGGCATACTTGCCTAATCAGACCATTGTCTTTTTAAATCACAAAGTCTGAAGAGCTGGAAGCATATCCAGTGAGGCTAATAGAAGTTATATTAATTTGGAGTAATGTTTTTTATAAGGGGAACACTTAATAGGAGGAATTTTTATTTTTAAACCAATCTTTTCCTAGCCTAAAGAACTCACCAACCTTTTCTCTTCAAAGATTGAACCTGAGCCCCAGTTACTCCAGCAGCATAGAAAAACACTCACCCATCAGTGTTATAAGCTTATTCTTCAGCTGTGTGTCTAGCCGTGCAATCATCATCTCCACTGCATTCCTAATTTCCCGAACACGCTCATCTTTTGCATTTCTTACAGCTTCTACATTTCTTTCCTAGAAAATAAACAGGTAGCAGGTTCGAATCCCAGTCAGGGCACACACCTAGGTTTGGGGTTCATTACCCAGTTGGGGCACATATGACAGGCAACCAATCATTTTTTCTCTCTCACACTGATGTTTCTCTCTCTCTCTCTCCACCCCCCCACCCTTACTCCTCTCTGTAAAATCAATAAACATATCCTCAAGTGAGGATTACAACAAAAAAATAAAGAAAAAAAAGCATAAGCTAATAATCCTTTTTAATTATTCATATATCATAGAAAAATCATGGCCTTAAAAACATTGTACATTGAAATGAATCAGGAAATATATTTCTTAAAATTAAACAATAAAGCTGGGCTAGTGTGGCTCAGTGGTTGAGCGTCAACCTATGAACCAAGTAGGGGACATGCAGGAGGCTGCCAATTGATAAACCTCAAAATTGATGTTTCTATCTCTCTGTCCCTCTCCCTTCCTCTCTGAAATCAATAAAAATATTTTTTATATAAACAATAAATAAACCATAAACAATAAATAAAGTATAAATAAAGGATAGGTATGTAATTACAAAAATTGGTTTAGATAACATATAGAACACATACTCAAAGCCCCAATTATATCTCTTATAAGAAACCATTTCAAACCAAAAGTTTACTAAAGCCATTTCACGTCATGCAAAACCCTAAAATAATTTTAAAAAATTTTTAAACCATATTTACAGAGTTTTTCTTTTTTCTAGAAGAAAAAAATAGATTTTCAAAGATTGCAGAATACATGGAGATTTTTTAACAGCAAAACTCAGAAAAAAGCATCATTTCCTATAGTTACTATTATTATAAATACAAGCAGTAAGAATCGCAACCTAGAATACTCTTCCTAATAACCACATAATAATATTGCCAAGAGAAAACAGAAAGAAAAAAAAAGGTAAAGGCCAAATGATTTTGTAGATAGTATACATACAACTCAAAAACATTACTTTCTGTATAAAAAAGTTATAATGATCTGAAACTTTATTCCTGAAGGGGGATAAAGATGACATCTTAAGTTAGGAATGGTCCACAAATCTCACTTATAACAATTATCAGTCTTGCAACTTTAAACAAAATATATTCCAAAAGTATATATAGTATTTAAATGTTTGAAGCTTAATGAATTTTGCCATAGAACTATTATAAATGGTAAATAGCTCACCAAAACTGTTTGACCCATACAGCATCTAAAGAGTACTGTTAAATATTACTCTTAATTCTGCAGAGTTCTAATTTAGGACATCAGAAATAATTCATTCCTTTGCAGCAGAAACCCCAAAAGCTGGGGGCGCAAAGAATGAATAATTTAATGACTTTCTAAAAGTCAATATTGAGTGTATAACAAAACAGGCTTATTTAACTCATTAACTGATTCCAGACAATTCTCTGGCTCCAACTACAGAACAGGCTAGGGGTTTAAACTCTAATTCCTAGGCTAGGGTGACTATAAATATATCCTATCAAATTTTCAAATTTTGCCTGGCTGGCATGGCTCAGTGGTTGAATATTGACCTGTGAATCAGGAGGTTACGGTTCAATTCCAGACAGGGCACATGCCCAGGTTGCAGGCTTGATCACCAGTGTCGGGTGTGCAGGAAGGAGGCAGCTAATCAATGACTTTCATCATTGATGTTTCTCTCTCTCTCTCTCTCTCTCTCTCTCCCTCCCCCTTTCTCTCTGAAATCAACAAAAAATATATTTAAAAATATATATATGCCTAAAATTATTTTAAATCTTAATTTCAACATCTGATTGATTTATATTATAAAAATATATATTACATAGTACAGAGTATAAAAAGGATAATCATCTTTTAGTAGTAGTCTTACCACTTCTTGAACTAAGCTGATTAGTTCCATGAGACGCCGACGAAGTTTAGCTACCTCTTCATTCACTTTAGTCACATGCTGCTCGTAAATTTCCGCCAAAGGTTTAAAGGTATGTCCACCGTGCTATTTAAATTAATAAAATAGTTAAAAAAACATTTTCATATATCTCATCTGCATTTACATTCCTCTATTAACACTCTATGAACACTAGTATATTGGCAAATATTTCCAAATGAATTTTATTTTTTTGGCTACCTTTGTTAAAATAAGTCACAGCTTGCTTAAAGTCACTTGGCCCATGTAAAAAATCCTTCAATTGCGGATAAAGATCTTAAGTAAAATGTTTACATTGAACTAGAAATCTTCACTCATTAGAAAGAACCAAGATACTTAATCATGGCTCAAAGCAGCTGACACAACCTCATTTGTCACTCTTCTCTTGATCAGCACTAGCCTTCTGTACCCCCATCAGGCCTTTGCAAAAGGAACTCGTACTTATTCAAAAATAATTCTCCTTCATCTTCCCTCCCAAACTCTCCACCTCGTAACTCCTACTCATCCTTTGGAACTTAGCTCAGGATTAGAGGGTCAGGTCTCATAGTTATCCATTCTTATCAGACTGTATACTTATTCCTTATATCTATTACAACAATTAAGAACATAGCTAGTTATTTGATATCTATCTTGTTAATCACTGAATACCTAGTCTCTAACACAAATGAATAAATTAGAAAGACATTTGAGGAAAAGACCCATGATACACTATTAGCAAAAGCAATAAACCCATTCTTCATGCCACAAAGAGTTACTGCAGAGACAGAAGGCCCATACAATTTAGCCTTACAAATCCAGTTGTATTCAAAGAACAACTTTTTAAACCTAACAGCCTAAAATCAATTTCCTATCCAATTTATGTACTGTATTTCATCACAATCTCTGGACTGGTAAGTAGAACTTAAATTTCTATTACAAGGAATTTCCTGTAACAGAAAAGTACTTATTAGAATTATCTTATTTGTCCAGCCGGTATGGCTCAATTGGTTGAGTCTCGGGCCATGCATCAAAAGGCCACTGGATCGATTCCCAGTCAGGGTACATGCCCAGGTGGGTGGCTTGATCCAAAGGAGTGGGCATGCAGGAGGCAGCTGATCTATGTTTCTCTTTTATTGATGTTTCTATCTCTCTCCCCCTTCCACTCTCTTTAAAATCAAAACATTTTTAAAAAAGAAAAGAGAACTGTCTTATTCAACCAAAACACCCAGCCATGGTCTCTAAGAAAAAAATGACATGGATTTTTGCATGTCCACTTAAAATATGAAAAATACTGTTTCCATTGCTTCTTACAAAGAAACATTTATTTAAAGTACTAAGTTGTGGGACATAAATTTTTTCTAGTCGGCACAGGAGTATTCAAATACCAACAGAAAAGCTCTAGCTGGTTTGGCTCTGCGGATAGAGCGTCTACCTGTGGACTGAAGGGCCCAAGGTTCAATTCCAGTCAAGGGTACATGCTCAGGTTGTGGGCTCGATCCCCAGTAGGGGTGGGTGCAGGAGGCAGCCAATCAATGATTCTCTCTCATCATTGATGTTTCTCTCACTCTCTCTCTCTCTGAAATCAATAAAAATATATTAAAAAGCAAATATCTACAGAAAACTCTGAATTGAGTTCTACTCAACCAACTTGCCTGGCATTCTCTCCCCAAAATGTGCAAACTGATGACCTAAGAATGATTAATTCTCATTGCTAACAGACACCTCTAGATGTCTGCTCCCACTATGACTAACTTTCCCCACCAAGAATCTACTGTTTATTCTCAAACCTATTCATGCTTATTGTACTTATTATTGTAAGTATATAATTTAATTTTAGTTAAACAACAGGACACAAGTATAAAATAAAAAGCTACTTATAGGAAAACTAACTTCAATGTTTTAGACTTGACAGAGATAACTTTAAAAAACTGCTTTGAATTAGATTGGAAAAAATAAAAACTTAAAAAATAAAAAAAATTTAATTACCTAAAAAACAAATCCTAATATCTAGAAGTTTACATTCATATTTTTCACAAAGTGTTGTTCCATTTTAAATAAACCAAAATTGAAAAATTGTGGCCAGGACATGAGATCAACTGAACTTTAATGAAATAAAATAAAATAATTTAAAAAGACCTTGATCCTACAACTAAAGATTTACAGATGAATATATACATTTTATAATTAAAAGAAAATATTTATGTAGGGGGTACACATCCCACATCAAAATCTCCCACAAAGGCTGTTTTTCTGACATAACAGAAGGAATGATACCTTCTGCTATAAAGCAAAATAATTTAATTTTCATTCTATAAACAAAGTAAAATATTATTTTCTTATCTAAATCAAACAAGTATTTCAGTGCTTTTAGTCTCTAAGCAAAAATAATTTGTTCTGCTCACCATTCCTCCCCAAAGTGCACACTGATGGCAGATACACTTCTTACAGGTCCAGCAAAATACACTAAGTTTTTCATGATGATTTTCACATCTATATATTATGAAAAGAAAATACAGGTAGAAATTAAACTAAAATTGAAAAATAATTACCTTAACAAATTCCTAAGTTTGGGTAAACAGGTTGGTCAATTATAAACAATTATATCTCAGGAAACAATATAAAATGTGTTCCATAGTTTCTTCTGCAAATTAAGCTAAAGAATTACAATTTTCTTAAAATTCTGTTTTCATTAATCTATAAGAACTTGAAATCACATGAAAAATGCAGACTAGTTTTTGAATAAAGCATAAATATAACATCATTTCCCAATATTACTATAGATCAGAAATTTTAAACCCTTTTTATCTCATGGCACACAAACTGCTAAAATTCTGCAGCACGCCAAAAAATTTTTTTTGCTGATCTGACAGAAAAAATAGGTAGTTTTGATTTATTCGCACTGAACGGTTATTGTTACTATTATGTTAGCTGTTGTCATTTTTTTATTTGATAATGTAGGGGAAAAGAGGTCAGTGCCCCTAACTAAATAGTAAGATACTGCACATTTAAAATATTCTTGCGGCACACCAACTGAAAACCACTGCTATCAATAATAAATTCTAGCCTGCTACTACATTTTTGGACCAATCAGATTATGTGTTTGTATCTACATGAGCATGTGTACGCACAA